CTAAGAATGGCCTCCGAGCCTTCCTTAATAGAGGGGTTCTGACCCAGATCCCCAAACACAACAAACCCTCTGACGTGAACTCAAAGATTCCTCTAATTAGGAGTGCCAGCAAAAAAAAGGTTTATCTCTCATCGCAGGCTAATAAATATGTCCAGCAGGGAGATTAATAGTTGCTTGCTGCATCTATTCACCTCCGCCCCCTGCCTTTTATCCCCAGAGCTAGGCTGGGGCTTTGCTAGCAGTGTTGGCTCTTCTGTCCCAAGGACCGGCCCATAGATTTCCACTGCTCTCCTCTCCTCTGCCTTCTGCACATCTGTGCATCAGGCACTGGACCCAGCTGTTCCTCCTCTTCCTCATCAGCCACCTCCGGACCTGGGAGCTGTTGACTCTCCATCTGAGGGCTGACGGACGGCCCAGGCTGTCTCTCTCTCTCTCTCTCTCTTTCTTTCTCTCTCTCTCTCTCTCTCTCTCTCTCTCTCTCTCTGCGCCAGCTCCATTCCCTCTTCCCCCTCGGAGCTCCCAGGTTGCCTTGATGCTGTCCCTGACTCCCACGCTTCCTCCTCCTCCTCCTCCTCCTCCTCCTCCTCCTCCTCCTCCTCCTCTGATTCGGTGGCTGACAGGCCACCACAGCAGGTCTCCAGGGCCAAGTTACAGAAAGCTGGATTGTGGCCATGAAAGCACGCAAAGAATTTGCACCACTTCCCTTTGTCTTGTCTCTTCTCCCCCCCGTCTCCAGTGTCCAGAGTCTAACAAAAAATGCCACCTGTGGACCATCGTGGACCTGGGTTTCTTCATCCTGATGGGGGTCGGTGGGGGCCTCTTAGGGGCCACCTTCAACTGCATCAACAAGAGGCTGGCAAAATATCGCATGAGGAACGTGCACCCCAAGCCAAAGCTGGTCAGGTACCGGGGCCTTTTCTGTGCTCGGAGGGTGTTTTGCTTGTAAAAGCTGCTGGAATTGGGTTTTGTCTAGTCTGATGAAAAGGAGGACTAGGGGAGACATGATAGCAGCCTTCCAATATCTCAGGGGCTGCCCCAAAGA